AGGCCAAGAACATACAAATAATAGTCCTTTCTACCATATTGGACTTCCAGCATCACCAAGAAAGGTGAAGCCCAGCCCTTACTAAATGTTCTCTGAAGTGTCCGATATATTTGAAAAATAATATTTGGTTGACTTAATCTCATTTTAAAATCATACAATATTAGTGTAACATTCTTTAAGACCCTAACCTATTAATTTGTTAAAAGAGAATATTTACCATATCTATCTCAATAGATTTCTTAAATTGTAAACAAAAATTACCTGTATGTTTAGGAACTTCAAAACCATTTTCTAATTGTATTAACGGTTTAGGAATTTCAGACACAGCTACAGGCCTAAGCATCAGGCCTAAACTGTAGAGGCAAGAGATGTTTTAATTGCATATATTTGCTCTAGATTGTGTTGAAAATTGGGTTATAAATTGTTTTAATTGTACTGCAGAATCAGAAACCATGAAGTTTGTCACTCAGTTGGGAATATGTTCTCTTGTTAGGAGCAAAAATGTAAGAATGGATATTCAAGTGCTTTCATGATCGTAATTGGCAGAATCATTGTATTTCACTGCTTGTTTCTCTAGGGAGACCATTTATAGTCAGCCAAACAAAAGAGCAAAAGAAAATACCCCACCCCACTGCCACAGAAGTTGGGATTTCTCAGTCTCATCTTAATTGTGATTATTCTGTGCATCTCATAAAATTTCAGATAGTTTTGCATACTGTAGCAATGATTATTGACAGGAAAGGGTAACTAACAAACATTGGTGTAAGTCAACCTATTTCCAGACTAAGCTCAACTGTTTGATAAACAGGATATGCATTTGAGGCACTGTTGACCAACTTTTGCTGCTATATTTGGCAACTAACATAATAGTCCTAATCCAGTATGTTTATCAAATTATTACTGTTATAAAACAAATATTATTTATAAAGCATTAAATGACTTCAGACCAGGATATTTAAAGGGTTTTCTACTTTAACAGGAACCTACCTACCAGCTATAGTCATCTTCAGTAGTCCTCCTTTTGTTCTTTGCCACAAAGGAAACAAGGTTAACCATGAAACAAGACAGTTTTTTTTTAAAAAAAATGGCAGTATGTCTTATGTGGAGCTCTTTTTCTACAGTCAACGTTAGATAAGTGGCTAAGATATTTTTATTGTGGCAAGCTTTTTAGTGCTTTTTAAAATATATTCTGTGCTCTCAGTTTTTACGTATGTTTTGGACTGTAAACCAATTTGTGGGTCCCTTTGAGGTTCATATATAATATGTAAATATGACATTTCCAAAATCAAGTGTTTGAGGATAGCAGCATAAGAAAAGTTCTGGAAATTAGCATACTCTAAACCTACCTATGAAACCTCTCTTCAGTATTTATTTATTTATTTTTATTATATTTATTTATTTATATTTCAAATTTAGATACCGCCCATCTCACAACAAAGTGACTCTGGGTGGTTCACAATAAAAGAGCAATAAATATTAATTCAAATACAATAAAAACAATAAAAAATACAATAAAAATAGGATAGAAACCAAACACATACGCAAATAATATCTTCCAAGATGTTGATTGTAAGATGTTAACATGTGGGAGCATCTTCAAGGTGCTAGCCATCCCCAAGATTGGTTGCCCCTTTTTTTGCCCCAAGCCAGTTGGCAGAGCCAGGTCTTGACTGCTTTCCCGAAAGACAAGAGAGTTGGGGCCTGCCTCACCTCTGGGGGGAGAGTATTCCATAGGGTGGGGGCCACAGCAGAGAAGGCTCTCTTTCTGGATGTCAATTGAGATTTTTCATTGACGGGGTCCGCAGCATACCCTCCCTGCCTGACCAGGTGAGACAGGTAGATATAATGGGGGTGAAACGGTCCCTCAGGTAACCCGGTCCCATGCCATGTAGGGCTTTAAAGGTGATAACCAACACC